GATCTTACGGTACAAGACCATGGGAGATGCTAGTGAGTGGCAATGAATATGCTTGGCAGGTAGGCAGAATTCCAGATGATTGCATGTATATGAGTAAAAGGCAATTAATAATGGGGCATCGTGGCAGAACCAGGACATTTCCATGGTAATATGCTAAGATGTATCACAAAGGGCGCTGGGAAAACTTGGGTCCATATTGGAAAATTGGCTCTGAACATGGTATTCTTAGCATCATTACGTGTTCTAAATTAGCAGTGAGTGTTAATAGGACAGAAATAGGATTTTCAGCTTCTTTAGCCAAGTAGTTAAAAATACTAAGTGTCTTGAAGAGTGTTGGAGGAATTAGCGGTCTCAAGGTGCTCTCAGAGATCCTGTGCAAGTTGCTACGGCCTTCATTGTTTACAGGCTTAATGAGAATATTAAGAAAGAAATGCTTGGCAATTTGCATTTAGAGGAGGCTTTTTCTAATTTATTTTCTGATTTGCAGAGAAATAAAAAAAATGCCTCCATCTGCACTGGCTTTACTGGCCCTTAAAATAACTTATGTATATTTGTTATATTATATAACTTGTCACAACATTAGTCACCACTTCTTCCATAAGGCAACATGTAAACCATCATGGGTAAGCATGACTAGAGCTATAATTATAGACCACTTTGTTCTTAGCATTTTAGTCAGCTTCTGCTTTTCTTCTTCTTCTTCTTTCTTCTTTTTTTTCTACTTCTTCTTCTTGTTGTCTTCTGTTTTGTTTCTGAGAGCAGGAGAGGGAGGGAGGAGAGAGGGAGAGAGAGAGAGAGAGAGAGAGAGAGAGAGAGAGAGAGAGAGAGAGAGAGAGAGAGAGAGAGAGAGAGAGAGAGAATGAATGAATATATCTTTGGCTCTATGCAGTTGAACTCTGCCTGCTGTCTGAACTGAGTAAGAATCTTCGGGGCTTATTACTTATTAGAGTGAGTCAGATAGTGAGAGACAACAAGAGGTAGGAATACTTGTTTCTACAAATGACCTTTTTCTTTAAAACATGTCTTTCATTATAAAAATACTTCTGAAAGGTGATATACACTGTTAATTTTATGTACATTTTGTTGTATAGACTAAATTATTGGGACAATTCCATTGAACTAGATCAGTGGTTCCAAACTATGGTCACAAGTCCAGTGAGCTGGGTATTTGTTAGGAGACAAATCTGCAGTTCCACCTCAGGGACTCTGGCAGAGATAGAAATCTTTTAATTAGTTCTTCATTAATTGTGATCCATACTAGAGGTTGAAACACGTGGAACCGGCTGATCATACCTTTCACTTATTGCACTATTTTAGACTCCTGGAAGACAAGTCTCCATTTCCTTTGTTCTTTACTATTATTTTCTACCTGACATGAGAGACAAAAATTCCTATTCCTCCACAGTTTATGTGTGGAAGATGAATGCTAACCATAACCAGTGTTGAACTGGTATAATGTGGAGAATTAAATTAGGTGCTTGAGAGTGTGATGGAGTTGGTCTTTCTGAGGCCAGGTACAAGCAGAGTTTTGGGTGACAAGAAGAACTACTATGTGAAGTTCTATGTAAAGTGTTCTAACATGGAGGTGAGTGGGCTCACGTGTCTGAGTGGCAGAAAGAAGGTAAGTGTACCTAGGTCTAGTGAGCCTGGAGAGAGATCTGAAGTGAAGTTGGACAGGTAGGTAGAGACCGGGTCATGTAGGCTCCTGCTCCCCCTCCCTTTCTTTTAAACTCCAGTTTTTAAAATTATGGCATGATACATATAACAAAAGTTTTCATTTTAAAGTGCTCAGTTCAATGGCATTAGATACGTCTGTATTGTTCTTCACCTGTCTAGCAGTAGTACTTGAAGTTTGACTGAGTATGCTGGATGCTTTGGAGAAGTTTTGCATGGAGAGCTTTCACAGTCTGAACTTTACATTGAATGGACTCATGCATGCAAAATTGAGGTATCATTACATGGAGGAAAGAGTGAAGAAGGGAGACTGTCAGAAGAGTTATACATTGACTGGAGGTACTAAGAAGTGCACGACTCTGGATTTTTATTTAATTTTATTTAATTTTGTGTGTTCTGGGAGCAAAATACTTGGGCATGGTACCACTGAGTTAAATTTAAATTCCCAACCCCTCTGGATACATTCTGATGGTAGAATCAACAGAGCTTGCTGACTGGTTGGTAGTGACAAATAAAGAGATCAGAAACAGTAAGTTTTGTTGGTTTGAACAACTGTTAGAGTTCAGGACATGCAAGTTTGGGAAATAAAACCATATGTTAAATTAAAATGTGTTTGAGATGTTTAAGCATAAATGTTGAGTGGGCTTAAAAATCTGGAATCATGAAAAAAGTCAGGTTGAATGTAGGATGTAGGGGCTTGCCAGCATTTGCTCAGCCATAAGACTGAATGAGATCATTTGGGTGATGAATGTAGACAGCAGAATCTTGACCAGTTCAGGAGCAGGAGAGTTTAGCAAAGAAGCACCAGTAAGAAAGGCAGAGAACCAGTAGAGCAAACTTCTAGAAGGGAAAGGAAGAATGTGTTTGAAGGGGGCAGGGGAAATCAAACAGCTGTTCCAAAAGCTGCTCTGAGGATAATCAAGCACTGAGAATTGTGCATTTGAGGTCTTTGATGACATGGCAAGTGTTGTGATGATGTGGTAGTTTTATGATGCCTGCTTGAAGTAGGTTGCAGGAAGAAAGGACCAGAAGCAACAAGAATAACCTGTTAGGACATCTTTTTCCTTAGAATAGGCCTTCATAAATGCCCTGTGACTCAGGTTAAGGCATGACTGTGTGACTGCTCTAGAGCTTGAATATAATACTTTCACATGCTCATTTCATCACTTCAATTTTAAGAACATGTCAAAAAATGAAGAAGTAGAAATTTAGTAAAAAAATATGTGTGGGAGTTCCGAAGAGCCTCCACAGGGACCTAGGGTTGTGTAGAACACATTTTACTTTATTTTTTGAGACAGGGTTTCTCTGCGTAGCCCTGGAACTGTAATTCTCTGTGTAGGCTGCCCTGGAACTTACTGTGTAGACCAAGCTGGACTCGACCTGAGAGGTATCCACCTGGTTAAAGGTGTGTGCCACGACTCCCAGCTGTGTGTAGAACACATTTTGAAACCTGTTTTAATCCATAGAAACAACATTCTGAGATGTTGTTAGTCATTTGCAGAAGAAGGGTATTTTTAGGTTTTTGGAGGAAATTTTCCTAATGCTTTTCACACTATACTATCTATTATTTGTGAAATAGAAGTGCTCCTTTTGTCAAATGCTCTACATTGAGGTCTTTGACTGGAAGGGATATTTTCACGTGATATTTCCTATACATTTGGAGCCTACTTTGAAGGTAATGTTCTGCCCTTCTGCCCTCTTGGTGCGAAAAAGAATGCAAGCTTTTTTTTTTTTTTTTTTTAATTTTGAGCCCTTAAGACTTAAGTTTACTTTTTTAAAATGTAAGATGCTCTGTCTGATTTAGTCTCTTATCTTTTAGTAACTATATTTAACTAAGTATATTTAAATACCTTGGATTTTAGAATAGTCAGCTCTTTCTCTACTTAAGGCACTTATTTAAAGCTAAAGCCTGAGTTTCTTTAAGGCAAAAAACTGATCTTTCATAAATTATAAAACTTCTCTCTGCTGTGAAGGAATTAGAGCAAGCATTACCTTATTTTCTCAACTCTTACGATGCTGGCATTTATGAGATGAATGTTATTTTATCTGTTACTAAGAAAAAAGTTACTGCCATTTACAATTGCAAAATAAAGCGGGCTGAAGATGTGTAAGTGTGAGGATCAAGGTTACCGTTTAGGCAGTGAAATATGGAATTGGAGAAAGGGTGGCAGGAATTCTGGGGTTGTCTGTGTTTCCAGTCACCCAAGGGAAGCAGACAAGTTCTCCAGACTATCTTTCCTCAGGTCTTTCACTTGCTTAGTGAGGGTAGTACGCCTACACACACCTTTCAGTGCCACAGTAAGGATCACATGACATAAATGACATTTAGAGATAATAGATTTTTCCTGGCAACATTCAAAGTATTTCTTTGATTTAAATTTAGGCTTTTAGATACTATTAAACAACCCAGGAAGTAACTTATTTAAGCCTTGTTGTCAGGTTTAAAATGTAATTTAGTTAGCTATTTGAAAGTATAGTATTATTTTTTTATTAGTATTATTTTTAATTTTTTTTTTCTTTTTGGATGCAGGGTCTGTAACCCTGGTTGACCTAGAACTTTGTCTGTAGATTATGTTGGCCTCAAAACTCACAGAACTCTACCTGCCTCTCTGCCCTTCAAGTGCTGGGATTAAAGGCGTATACTGTTGTGCCCAGCTTGCTAAATAATTTTTATCCAGTCTTGAATTTACCTTTTCATTATAGTAGAGAATATAATATAACCACATTTTTATAACTCAGAAGTAACAACTATAAGCATTCTGTTAGTACTGTGATCTTTCATGAATTTATTATGAATGCTTATGACATTAAAAAGGTAAAAGGATATAATAGTGAACATTCATACATATGGCAGTGCAGCAAACACTGTTTTACATTTAGATTAGCGTCCCATGTTCACAATATTGTAGTGAGGTGATTGTTTCTCTTGTCTGCTATGCAAAAGCTGTAAGCAGAGAGTCATTTTTGTTATATGTGTGTTTGGTCTAGCAGTGGAGCAGAGTGTGCTACTTTATACTGTTGGTGCTTTGAGCTGAAATTTTCTCAAAAATCCTGCTTGCAGCTTTGGAGATAAAACTGTGAAGGTCAGAAACATGACACATGTCAAGTCATAGTCATGGTTAACTTACTGTGTCCAGACCACTTTGCTGTTTTTATCTTGTATGCTATGTAGGTCATGGCCCAGGCCTTAAATAGCCCAAATTTGCACAGCTAGTTAGTTGTGGAGCTACTGACTTTAATTGAGATCTACTTTACACCACATCCCATGTCTTTTGCATAATGCTACCTCAATCCTTGTCAGTAACCATGATTTGTTTCTTTTGTAGGCAGAACCCAGAGACTACATTTGAAGTGTATGTGGAAGTGGCCTATCCTAGGACGGGTGGCATTCTTTCAGGTACTCACTTATCTAATTATGATAATGATGTTTCTTTATTGTATGGAATAGCTGTAAACAGAAGAAAAATAGATAAATAATGTGATGTCTTTAAGTTCTTTTAAGTGCCTTTCCTCATTTTTCATGTCCATATCATCCTAGGAAGAGGAGAGAATAAAAATATAGTGAATACTTTGATTGGAATCCACTGCCTTGGCAGACTTATTTTTATCATTGGATATTGGTTTGCATATCATAGATACCTGAAAATCAGTTATTTAGGCCTTGCTAATGGGCAAGGCTTGGAATTAGACTGTAGGATTCAAATTAATTGAAAGAGAATTTTTTTGCAATTAAACTGCTTGAAATAGACCAAATTTAGCAAAACTGTTTCTAAAAGGTTGGAGACTAGTTAAAGGAAACTCCTCCTCTTTCTTTATCTTTCAGTATGATTTCATAAGTATCCTGAACAGTGGGGATCTTAGATGAGGTTAGGATGTCTATAGTATATAGACATTTATAGTTTTGTAGCTATATCCTTCCCTTCTAATGACATATGTTAAAAAATGTAGGTATTTTCTTTCATCTCTGGATTTTACCTGTTTGACTGTGTCTTCATGGTTATACTCAGGTTGTATGTGTGTTATTTGTGCCCTCAGTGTATCTTATCAGCAAGTGTATGATAACTATCCCATTATTTGTATAAAAATGCATAAAACTTACAAGTGTGGGTTAACAAATAATATAACACAGGTGGCCATATTCAGGTTAAGAATGTTGTGTGGTTTTATGCCAATTCTAGTCCTGGCACCAAAGATCTCTGGCCCTATCCTATGCTATGCTTTGGAAGTTCCATGTTGGTCCTCCTTTTATAATGCCAATTTTTTGGGGTACAAAGTGGCTGGACCTGTAAAACATGACAATCAATACTTGAACTCTTTCATCTTAGAATGTTTTGGGAGAACCCAAGATCTCAGAATTGTTTACCCCTTACCCAAATGGCCTGGGGCTTGTTTCCAGGGCCTGTATGAGTCAGTTTGTAGGCTTTGTCTTCATGAGTGTGGACTGTGCTGCTAGTGTGTTCACCCCAAGGCCTTAAGGTGCTCCTACATGGGGAGTGGTGTGTGGTACAGGTATAGCTGGACTTGGAGCAGTGGGGTAGGATCATGCTTGTATGAGGGGTAACTTAATGTTTGTTTGAAAGATCTCTTGCTCTGTGGGATGTGGAAGGAACAGTGGGCAGTCAGTGTTCACTCTACCACTACTTTTCTTCTTCAGACTCTAAGCATTCCAAAAAATCCACAGTGAGCTTGACTTTTGTAGCATGAATTCTAATTGGTCTTAATAATAAAAACCTAGAGCCAGATATCGGGGTGGAAGTGGTAAATGCTGAAAGATCAGAGAGACAAAAGAGCAAGCTACAGCCAACTTTTCCTTGCTAACTCCTCAGGCCAAAAAAGGGCCGAGCTCCTGTCCCATCCTGTTTTATATTCCTCTGCCCAGCCATATTACTTCCTGTCTGTCTAAGACTTCCAGACCTCTATCATTAACCAGTGGCTAGTTATGCCTTCTGATCTTCAGGCAAGCTTTATTCATTTGTTTGTTTGGTTTTTCAAGGCAGGGTTTCTTTGTAGCTTCGGAGCCTATCCTGGAACTAGCTCTTGTAGACCAGGCTGGCCTTGAACTCACAGAGATCTGCCTACCTCTGTCTCCCAAGTGCTGGGATTAAAGGTGTGTGCCACCACCTGGCCAGGCAAGCTTTATTTGTTAGAGCATATACCAAATTATCACCACAGAGTTTCCATTAGTTTTAAAGATTTATTTATCATGGTAGGAGGTAAAATATATCTAATACCTTTAAGCTTGATTTACAACTTTTTTGGTTTTTCGGTTTTGCTCTGTGTAGCTTTGGTGCCTGTCCTGGAACTAGTTCTTAAAGAGCAGACTGGCCTCCTTGAACTCACAAAGATCCATTTGCCTCTGCCTTTCAAGTGCTGGGATTAATGGTGCAAGTATACCACCACTGCCTGGCTTTTGCTTTTTCCATTGACTTTTTTTTTTTTTTTTTTTTGAGGCAGGGTTTCTCTGTCTATATCTCTGGCTGTTCTACTGCTCTGTAGACCAGGCTGGCCTTGAACTCACAGAGATCCACATGCCTCTGCCTTTTGTGAGCTGGGATTAAAGGTGTGTGCCACCATTGCCCAGCCTTATTGATTTATCTTAATGTGTGCATTAAGTGCATAAAGTGAAGACCTTTAATTGTCTCTTAAATTGTCTCAGTGCTGTGCTCTGAGAATGGAAAGAGCATGCGATTTGTCAGTACTATGTAGAAACTACGTCAAGAACCTTAACACTGTAGGAATACCATCTTAGACTGCACAGAGCTTAAGCTGGAAAAGGACATGAGCTCTTTGATATTTGGTCAGATTTCCTTTTGCTGTTTCTAGTGAGTGAACTATAGCTGAATATTTGGCTTCAGGCACTTTTTTCTTTTTCTACAACTTTTTGCTAAATAGTACTTGGTATATTTTCCTTTTTTTTCCTTTTACTGTTTTAGGCATTAATTGGCTGTTTTAGATGATTGTAAAGAATCTACCTTTGTTCCTCAGATCTGCATCTCTGTGTTTCTGGACAAATTTAGATATAAATCTTACATTGCACAGTGCTAGTGTCTGGGCCTAATCTTCTCTTTGAAGTTTGTTTGCACCCCTCTGGAGGGATTAAATTCCTGCTGTGAGAAGGTGGGTTAAAAAGCACTGAGACTTTTATGGGTCTTTAATTGAAGGATTTAATGTACATTTTGTTTTATAAATGTCTGTGAGAGTTCTATTCTTACAATTTTTGCTTTCATTCTGATAGATTTTTGTAAGTTAAAAATGTATATAGTAAAATTTTTCGCAAGGCACTTAATACTTATTGGCAAATTATTCTGGTGTGTGTGTTTTGGCTATTCATCTTTAAAATTTTAGCAACCTTGCTTAGAGGATTAGCTCTTGAACATGTATGAGAGATTTTAAAATTTGAAAGGTTATAATGAAGAGTAGAATGACTAATAACTTTCATTTACTATTTTGATTTATTTATTTCTTTGTAATCTTTGTGTATGTGTGTAGGGATAAAATATATCACCCTTTTTCCAAACTTCTGCTATATGTGTTTTTCTTGCTCCCTCAGTTAAGACTTTTGTTTGTTTGTTTTTCATTTCTTGTTATTTGAGACAGGGTTTCTCTGTAGCTTTGGAGCCTGTTTTGGAACTCACTCTGTAGACCAGACTGGCCTTGAGATCCACCTGCCTCTGCCTCCCAAGTGCTGGGATTAAAGGTGTGCACCACTGACGTCCAGGAATCATGTTTTTCTTAAAAAATATTAATATAGTTTTGTGAAACCACCTTATTTGTTATAAATTATTGTACCAAATGTTTTGTTTGCTTTCATTGACTCTTTTGATGCTTGCCATTTAGGATCAGATTTTTACCTTTTAAGACAGAAACTGAAATTCAGTCATGATAATGCATGCCAATAATTCCAAGAGCTTGAATAACTGGCATGTATTATGCAGGAGGATGAAGAGGACAAGTTGTAGTAATACCAGCCTGCGTTTCACGAGATCTTGCTTCAAAAACAAAACAAAATAAAACAAAAACAAAAACCTCTAAACAAACTAACAAAATCCAGAAAATTAGCTAGTTGTCAGTAGATTTTTGGCATGTTTTATTTTATTATTATATTTTTAATGTTTCCTAATTGGTCAGTTTGCTGGAAGAACTTACCCTTCCATTAGGCTCCCAAGATAGGCATCCTACACTGCAGAAACACCCAACACTGAATTCAGCCCATGTGACTAATGATCTCAGAAGTTTCTCTTGCAAGAGAAATCAGCCTATGAAGTCCCACGATCAGATGGCACTGGGTATGCAGAAACTCAGAAGTGCATTTCCAGCACAAGTGTCTGGTTACAGCTGGCCTTTCTGAGCCTGCTGTGGGCACTGTGCCTGGGCAGATGCTTAGTGTTGGAAGAGTGGCAGCATCAGGTTTTTTCTGGGCCACCCACCAGATCAGCTTCCTTCTGCCTGCACTCCTCCTTCAGCATTTGTAATGCAGTAGCCCAGTGGCCAGTTTTTAAAGATAAGGGTGATGAAGTTGAGAAACCGTTGGGATTTTGTGAAAGCAGTGTTAGTCACAATGCTTTGGAAGCTGACTTGTTCATTTACCCAGGTTTTAGGCAGCAACCCTAAGAAAAAACTCTTTGCTAAAAGTTGTTCTTAAATAAACGTTCACACTTTTGTCCACACAATGTCTGAGCAACACTGTTGAAGAACAACACTGAGACTTTGCCAATTTATTGTTTTGAGAACCAAGTCTGTGATTTCATATGGTCTCAGAGCTTCATCTAAATTTGTGTTAATAACAGATTCTCCATTTTATTGGAGATTAAAAAAGAAGGTTGAGAGGCTAGAGTTGATGGCACTGTTGCTGTGATAAACACCATAACCAAAAGTAACTTGGGGAGGAAAGGGTTTATTTTAGTTTACAGTTCCATTTCACAGTCTATCGATAGGGGAGTCAGGGCAGGGACTCAAACAGGACAGTAATCTGGAGGCAGGAGTTGAAGTAGTCAAACATAGTCAACCACTACACGGTCAAGCTAGAGGCCATGGAGAGTGTTGCTTACTTTCTGGAATGTTCCCTAAGGTTTCTATCCTTATAGAAACCAGGATCACCTGCCCAAGGGTGTCACCACCCACATGGGCTGGGCCTTTCCATATCAGTCACTAATTTAAAAAATGCACTATGCCTACAGGCCAGTCTTATGGAGGCATTTTTCCAGTTGAGGTTTCCTTTTCCCAAAGGACTCTAGCTTGTGTCAAGTTGACCTAAAACTCACCAGCACTAGCATTTTAGATCATTTGCTGCTCTTCCAGAGGACTCAAGTTTGGTTCCTAGCATGCATATCAGGTAACTCATAACTATCTATAGTTCCAACTGTCAGGGGATCTGACCCACATACCCTGGTGTGTTAC